GCCCAGCTGTTGTGATCTTAGTAATTTATGTGATTAGCGTGATAAGATCTGAACTAGTTTTCGCCATGGTGTGTAAATAATTCCAACTGTGACTTGATTTTGCAAAAGAAATTTTTTAAACTAAAGACTACTAACTGCGCTTATATTCAAGTGTTGACTGAGTGCACGGACGGTTGCTTCAGTATGGAAAGATTTGTTGATTCTTCTGGCCTCGCCCGGACCACCAAGAGTGAGCTAACTTTTTTTAGCTGTAAATACTCATAGACGGCCGTGTTAACCTATTCCGCAGGCAAGCTCTTCTCTTGTCCAATTTCAAGATATCGCATTAGATGTGGGTCAGGTCTTCCATGCGTGTCTGTCTGATTGCCTGCCTGCCTACCTATATTCATACATATATACACTTCCACCTGTATGTGTCACCGGTACCAGCTTAATCAAAGTGAAGCAAAAAGCATTGAAGTCGCAATCGCTTTGTGCTAATCAAACTGCTCCTGCATATATCACAGTGCTCCGTGAGAACTGTAGGATTGCCTTTAGTGGAACAACCAAGTTCTCATCAAAAGCATTTTCAGCAACAAAGATTAGTAACATGCCAACTACTCACTTTTTATAGGGATGAACCCATCGTTACGGAAATCACTGTCTTTTCCTCATGATTACCACAACATGCCTGACTGCTTCCGATTACCGTATTCTGTTCCTGGTACGAATGCCCCCCTGTTTATTCAAATGGTGCTTCATATCCCATTCAGCTGTTCTTGAAATCCAATCTCCAAGATTGATACAACGATTAATTTGCAGGTTAATTTGCGATAAGACATCGCATTCCCGTGCTGTTGCCCATCGCTCATTTTCCTTTCTTTTGACGTAATTTTTAAACAGGCCTTCGGGTAAGCTAATAAAGGGTCAGCTTGGCCTGTTTACGGCTTACGACAACGCTGCCGAAGTATCAATACGATAGCAAATGTACTGCTCCTCTTTTTGCATAATTCAGATCAAAAACATTCGTACCGAGGCTTGGGTTAACACACAAGCGCCCTCCTCCGCGCTACGAAAATGCTGCAGCATTATTTGTCTAACTTGATGGAGGTCACTTCGTGCTTTGGAACAAAAATGATCAGTGTGGCCATAACTTTTCAGTGTAGGGGTTCAACTCTCAGAGATGGACCGTATTTCCACCTAGAGCCAGTATCTTTAGATCCAGCTCTAAATGTATCCATGTTGAAAGGCCTTTCCTGGAGTACTTATTTAACCATCATTTATGCATGTAAAGTTAAAATCAAGGGATTATTAAAACATTTGTTAAAACTGTGGCTAGTTTGCCATTTTTTACCTTAATTATAGTCAACATTCTCTCACAAACGGATGCCAGAATTTGCGAATAAGTAATCCACCTTGACAAATCGGCTTTAAAGCTAAATAAGATACAAGCCTTAAATCTTGAAATCTTTCAGTTTTTTAAAAATTGACTAGAGTAATGTTCTCGCTTTTAAGCTACCAAGATAAATAAGGTAAACAAGGGGAGATCAAAATGCCGACCATGGCTAAAAGTGAAGTTCTACCTTAAAAGCCAGTTAATTACTTAACAATATATCAATTTCAATTGTTTCTACATAAATTGAAGGAATATATTTTGGTTTTGATTAGACAATCTTCGCCTTTTGCATTGTTTTAAAGAACTCACTTATTGTATTACATAAAGCTACTCTTGATTTCCAGTACTTTTAAAAGGTGCATAAAAGTAGAAATTTACGTCTGGTTTTAGAAATGGAAAAAAGGTTATGCATAGCATTTTTTAGTAAGAAATAAACAAAGTGAGTTACAACGCAACTTTCCTATTGCGATTCAATAAACATTTATTAAAACTCATCGAAAAGAGGCCGATTTTTTACAATTTGGTAGCAGACTATAGGCACGTCATGCATGATTTTATATCAAAATTGTCTGATGTGTGCTGATAAATACACTGAATCCGACGGCACTAATAGCTCTTCTAATGGCATATTTTCAAAATGACCAACGTACTGGGGTCAATTTTAATGATATCGTCCATTTAAAGCAATAACCTTTGAGCAAAAATTGGTAGATACTTATTTTTTTAAAAAAACGGGGTTTTAGACCTAAGGCACATAAGGCACATAGACTACTGGTGGTAATGGAGGATTCTGAAATTACTAGCATCTGCTTGAAGTTGTAAGATGCCATTGCTTGAACCGAGCTAAATACAAGATTGAAATTTCGCAGTCCATGCCTTAGTTATTAGAATCTCTATGCGTTACTAATGTTAATAAAGCCATTTTAAGGTTTATAAAATCTGTTGTGTTCAATACCAACTGGGAGGCGATATCAGTGGCAGTACTGTTAAATGTACTCCATAGAATTCAACCACTTTTAGTTAGTTGACTGTTTCTAAGACCTGCATTTTAATACAGTGAATGGAGCTGTTGAAACAGTGTTGAATTTCGCCAAACACTAGGATTTAGCATCCACCATAATGGCCGGGAATGGAATGAATCTAGTGCGAGCAGTGTTAGCGTTGTTTCTTTGATAATATCCTTATCTGAGAAGTTGATCGTGGACCATCCAGGTGACTAAACAGCTTGAGAATAGCAAAACAGTGAAAAGCGAAATGAACGTACTGAAAAACGCTTAGCATAATTAACTTTTACTCCAACAAAATTTGTATTTTCGAAATGTTCAAGCATAATTCTACCAAAATGAAAAAATCTGCTATATTAAGCAGTAAATTTTTAAATCAACCAAAATAATCTAAATCTACAATGCACAACAAAAACTCAACAATCGTAAGCCATTCAGCTTGTTTTTTTGAGGCCACTAACACAGAAGTCAGCCTTCATCTTTGCATCTCCATTAAAAGTCTTGCAGGCACAGGTGTTAATAACCTCATTTTACATTTGAGTTCATATGACTAGCATTTGAAAACAAGATGCTTTAGCAAAAAGCTAGATGAGTTAGGACGGCATTTCAGTAAAAAAAGGGATTTAATAACGTTAAATATAACAGAATTTTTATGCCGCATGATTTTCATATATTTCACTAAGAGGACTATTTTAATAGCCCACAACACAGGTTCCACGCCGATACCATGATGATCTGGTAATATGTAACGTTCCGGGTCATCTCTAAGCGGGAAATGAAGTGTATCAGAATGATATTTTATTACTGGTACTTGTTGATCTGGAATACTGGAATACTCGTGAGGATTAAAGGGTATAAATGGCTAATAACATTTAACAAATAACAATCCGTCACTAAACTCCAAACTCTTCTCAGCATTCGTACAAAAGGTATCTCTAGACTCCTTGGTCAGATGCTGTCCAAAGAAAAGAATTATCACAAAGCCAGTGATTAAAAAGCCAAGCAATGATTTCAGATGCGATACGCAATTTCGGAGATTTATTCAATTTTTTTCAAAAACTGACCCCATCGAATGCCTACGTTTACTGGAAAGAATCCGTGATGATTCATCACAAATCCCCAAACAAGGCTTTTACTTTGCTAGCAGATGCTTCAAGTAAAAGTGCAACTTATCTAGTCTATAGGCCTCTATCTCTTATCCGTCAACCCTAATATCTGTAGGGCGAGGATCGTAGGTCTCCTCTTCCTTGATCCCAGTGCTCTTAGAACAATCCGGTTGGTTTAATTTCGACATATTTATTTGACTGAGTGAATAGGGGAAACGAATACAGGGTTTAGTGGGGTGAGGGTTCGCGACCGCTCTTAGGCTCGCTGGGT